CATGAAATCCCCTTAAACATTTCCCTTCACAACACAGGTAAGATCACCACCATCATCACAGATTGCACAAACTGTTTCAAAACCATCGTCCTTGTCATCAGACTCGCACTCTTTGACTGCTTTAATGGTGAGTTCCTCATCCCCACAGTGGACCTTTGGCTCTTGTCTCTGACTCAAAAGAGACTGGGTCCAGCCAACCACACAGAAAGAGAAGATCAAAGGAGGAGAAGAGAAGAGGGAAGAAGGCTCTTATTGTGGAGAGCAAAGATGAAGACAGAGCATCAAGCTCTAAAGATGGTGACATCAGTGCTTTTGCACATTCCTTGGCCTTGATCACCAAGGAATTTCAAAGGATGTTTGGGAAGAAACTCTTCGACCAGAGAGGCAGTCGAAGTGACAAGTGTACTGACAGTGTTCTTCCAGGTTCTAATGGCTAATCAAAGAGATGCGTCTGACAACGAGAACCCCCTGCTGTCACACCATTCCACCAACCCATCTGTTACGATGTATAACCTAGATGATTTGTTAACCACACATCGTAATTATCTAAAGATTCAACAAAATAACAACATCTTCGACTTCCATCTCAAGACAGATTTCCCTGTTCTTATGGAGGTGTTACGCAGTCACCCCCTGAACATTACACTTTCAAAGACGATAAAGAGATTTTGGGGCCTTTTTTAAAATTTCAGTTTCATTAAAATCCAAACCCACTTAAGGATTATAAAATCTTGTATCTTTGGGTTTGTTTGTCAAAATTTTCAAAATTTGTTTAGATTGCCCTTTTTTGTAAATGATGTCCTCCAACTGATTGATCTTTGAATATAAATCATCTCTTTCTTTATACATCAAATCAAACTTTAATTAAACATTCATTTTCTCACCTTCTACTATCTTCAATTTTTTTCAAGTGAAAGTATATTCTTTTTAAGATCAACTTCTTGAGATTTTAGAACTTTTTTCTCTCTTTTCAGATCCTCACAAAAGACCTTACAGTTTGCACTCTTGTTCTGAAAATGTAACATTGAAATCCTCCCACTTTTTAATCTTTCTTTCAAAGCTTTAGATTCAATGTTCATGCTTTCAATTTCTTTGATTAATTCAGCATTAAAATAATTTTGTACATCAGATTCGTCATCAGATGACGAGCTTTCTTCTTCAGTCTTTGTCATCAACCACATGTTTACCTGTGTAAAGTGTGATGCTTCATCATCTGACGAATCAATCAGCCAACTTTCTTTGTCAACAACCAAGGCTTTGCCATCTTCAAGAGTTTTGGCAAGATGAGCTTTCTTCAGATAATAATTGGAATCTTAAACTTTTTTGAAACGACAATCCTTGATGAAATGACCAGTCTTGCCACATTTCAAGCATCTGTTGTCTTCAGCCTTGATCTCCTGATGGTCTCTGGCTTTAACAAACTTTTCTTGCTTGACCTCTTTACCCTTGTTCTTGTCATACTTGATAAACTTCTTCTTTCCAAACCTTTCCTGGAATTTCTTAGTCCGTAAGGCCATCTTCTTGGAGAATTCCCTGATATCATCATCAGTATTAGTAGATGAATATTCAGTAGATTCACTTTCAGAGTTTTAAGATAACTCATACTTTAAACACTTGGAATTCTTTGACTCTTGTTTACTCTTATTCTGCTTTCCAGAAAGAAGGTCTAAGGTCAGCAACTTTCTTCTTCTCACTGTCTCTTTTTGTTCAATCAAAATAAAGTACAAATCATGAATAGTTTAATGCCTTCTTATCAATCAGAATCCTTTCTTTTTCATCATCAGTATAACAGTTAAATTGTTTAGCCTCTCTTCTTGCAGCCACAAAATAACCATCAGTAGTAGTATATTCTGCAATATCCACATAACTTATATAGGGACCATTTATGATTGATTGCATCAATCTCACATCTTTATTACCCAAGAAGTGTACCATCCGAACTTTCCATTGTTGATACTCACTAACTGCTAGAACTGGAGGCTTGGAATTTGAACCAATGCTTAACATATCCTTAGACGTTTTTCAAAAGTAAACTTGAAATGATCGTTAATAAAATAGTCTTGAACTGGTTTTGAAAGACAGATAGAATTCTTGAAACTTGAACAAAATTTCAAAGGTTATCGCTCAACAAATGGAATCCGCTTAACAAGGACTTATCACACACCAGAGGTTATCGCTCATAAAGGGTTATCTCTCAGCAAATGATTATCGTTCACAAGAGATATCACACACTTGGTTATCGACAGAGGGTTATCGAACACAAAAGGTTATTGGACAACACTTGCACGATGAAGAATACTTATCGGATAACAAGGTAAGCGATGAGAGTGGTTATTGGCCAAGAGTTGGGCGATGAGGTTGGTTATCGCCATCTCTTTGGGCGATGAAGCGCAAAATGTAATCCGCTCAAGGTTATCGGGCAAGGCTTTGTCCGATGAGAACCTTTATCACCTATGCCTTGGGCAATGAGGACTAAGCTTTGGGCGATGAAAAAATTGTTATCGCCTAAGCTTTGGGCTATGAAGATTAAACACTTAGCTAAAATTTTAACCAATGATAACAACCAAAATACACAATAAGCGATGAGCAGCCTTGAGCGATGAAGATATACTTTGATCAATGAGCAATCTGAATCACTTATGCAATGAAATCTCAACTTGAGCGATGAAAACACTTGGATGATGAAAATTCGAATCCATGCAATTGCTTGGGCGATGAACACTTTAACAACAGATTCAATGGGTGATAAGGCTCAGATTCGTCGCTTGATGAATCTTCAATGGGCGATGAGGAGAACTTCGAACAGAAACTTCAAGAAATCCACCAAAAACACCTAAAAATCCCAAATTGATTGAAATTTCTTACACAGATTGACTCAAAATCAATGAAGAAACAGTTTTTAAGCATCCAATTATACCAAAAATGAATCAAAGTCGATCAATTTGATCAAAACAAACTATGAACAGAAACAGAAAGTTCGAACAAGAAAATTCAAGAATTTCAGCTTCAAAAACGATCCAAAACCAATTCAGATTGATTTGTTTGCTCTTATACCAATTGATATCCTAGATTGTCTATAACATCAATTCCACACAAAATCAAGAACACATAATGTAGAAATGTGTATGTCGGCAAGTGTATTGATGATAGTCAAAGTACAGTGTGTTCTTGATCTCTCTTTCAATCTCACGTACAATCTCTCAACTGCTAACTGTTTCCAACTGTTTCAACAGCTAATTAACTACAACAACAACCTACTTATACCAACAATTACAAGGACTTGAATACAATATTTTATAGAACACATTTAGCACAAGGACTTGGATACAACATTTTAGATCCAACAAATTTCAATCTTTTAAAAAATATTGGCATGTGAATACAAAAAATATATTCAGTATAACAAATGTAATTTATATACGAGACTTTTTAACGTTCATCTCACCGGGACTTTCATTCAATCATTGATAGCTTGAAAAAGCTTGTCTATGAATGTTAAAATAGAATAACAAATATCCTATAAAATTTGTGCAGTGTAGAAAATATAAAGCAACTAATGCTTCACAATAAGCTCAAATTGATAAAACAATGTGGATTACACAAATTTATCTGACTCAAATTGTGATAAAAAAGACTTGAAGGGGGGACATTATCAATCTTTTTCAATATCAATTAACTCCAAATGAGAAACCAATAGATTATGAGTTGCGTGCCCCAAGTGTTAATGAAACACTTATCTTTTGAGAGATAAATGAGTAGTTGATGAGGGTTTTAAACAAGAGTTGGCTTAGGCTTTGCCTTTTTCAATATTAGTCTCGAAAGAATTAAGAACTAATAGATTATGCAGTTTGCCCGGATTATAATGGATGGATCATGATTCTGATATTCTTTTAAACCTGTACTTTCTGACATTATGACTTCATCTAGATATGGAAAAAGAAGATTTTCACTGTATTAAACTTCAATGATATCTCTGTCCTTCTATTAAAGATTTAGTCTGCAATAACCAAAAAAATTCTGCAATTTGTACTTGAATTCCTTACGTATCAGCTTGTTCAATTAATTCTATAACTTTTTTCATTGCTTTGCGAAAAGAAACTCAAATTTTTAACTGGTCTGCTTTAAGTTCTACAAGAATATTAGGGTTTCCATAAGGCTTTTCAATTTGTTTGACAATGTTAAGTTTTCTATTTATAAAATTATATTTTGTAAATTTATCTATAATTCTTCAATTCCTCGGGGCCGGCTTTCATTTAATATCGTTTACAAAACACTTACTAGGTATCATTTATCTTACCAAATATGTATAGTAAGGAGCAAGAATCTTGTACGCTATGTGTGAGAAATGACTCTTACCCATTAAGCTTTTGTTGAGTAAAAGACGCTTAAAAACAATCCATTTTATGCAAGAACTTTTCCTGATAACATAAGTGAAGATGGCAGCTTGTGCAAATAAATGCTTACTCGATAAGCACTTGGTAAATGACCCCTAAGTAAACAATTTATCTCTTATCAGTTAACCAAGTACATACGTTCTATTCACGTCTATTTGGTATGTTCTATGCTTATATGATTTTCTCTTAAATATACGATTTCAAGGTGGGAAATGGTGACAAAAAACTGGATGCCAATTAGATGTTCTATTAACATTTCCTTTCTGATACCAATTTTTTATGCAAATACTCATCAATAGTCTAACCCAACTAAAACCACCAGACTTTTGTCTTTGGAGCTATATAGGCGCAATCTCCACTTAACCTTTGCTTTCCCCAACCATTTCCAGTTAAGATGTTAATGTGCCTTTACCTCTGCAATGCAACAGCAACAGCAACGCGTTCCGAGGTATGAAGTGGGAGCGAGAGATCTCATAATTAGTGTTTCAAATAGAAAGAAATGACCAAATTTTCAACCACCATTTGACTTATCATAGCAACAAGTACTACTCATGAAAGGCATATATGAGCTCATTGCCATGTATATGATGCAACTTGATTTAGCCATTTGAGCTCTTTTTCTCTTTGTTGAAATAGAGTTGCACACTATATGTTGAAACAAATTTTCATATACAAACATGCTAGATAGACTCTCTAACTACCTACAAGTTTTTGTTTGCAATCAGATACCACTACACTTAACTTTGATCCTTCAGTTTTGCAGGTTTATTGGTGTTGATACATAGAGGAGATGGCGTTGGCACTGGTATACGACTTGTCACACATACCACACATTGCCTTATTATTTCAAACACAATCCCTATTAATCCATCAATTTCAACATCGTATTGCTCATAAACGAAGAACAAAATAAACGAAAACGCCAACCCTGCATTTAAAGGACATACCAACATCAGATAAACATAGTCAAACAAATAAAATGGAAATAAACATGAATACAACAATTAGGGGATGAAAACAGGATATGAGTTTCATTCCCCCCAACCCCAATTTTGTAGAGGAATGCAGGCATTACTAGCCCATTCTGTTAAATCAAACTGGACACCATTAAAGATTTCCATTTCCATTCAAAAATCCATGACCTTTTGGTCAAAGAGGAGTTACTTTACGAGTTGCTTCAAGACTAACCCCTTAATATGAAACAGCGGTGCGAAAGAAAAAAAAAAGAAAAAGAAAAAATCAATACCTAATCCCAGTGACGTGGGGAAGAAGTTCACGATGAGCAACTTGAAAAGATAGATTGAGACTACAACCTGCAGGGGTAAGGGATTTGTTACAGATGCAAAGAGACGAACAGTTTTTTGAACAAAGGTGTCATATGATAACAAAAAAATATGCATTAATAATCGCAAAAATAAAAAGGTGAGGAGTGTTTAGACGACAATATGAAGCTGATCAAGAAATGGTTCCCCAACTAAATCACAATTTTACCCTTGCTAATAGAGGGGGTGGTAATTTTTCTGCATGTCATAATTAAGGATAAAATTGAACAATACACTTAAATTAAAATAGAAATGTGGACTCTTATTTTGGGATGGAGGGAGTAGTAAATATTCAAAGTTCCATTTTTAATCAATTGGGTTGTTCAATTACCTGAAGTGAAAACAAGACACGCTCATTGTAGAAAAATATGCATCCCACCTCATTTTTATAATCTAATAAACAAGTGGAGCATGACACAAGTAAAATGCTGCCAAAACTTAAAAAGCAACAAAAACAGGCAAATCTGGCCATCTAAATAATCTACAAGTATGGAATACTAGGACTGGAAAAAACAAGCAGAAGATAAAACTTAAATTGTTGAATACCTTGAAAAACAAACTCCAGTCACTACCTTCTGCCAGTGATCTAGCTACATGACCTACTGCATTCCATATGTTTGCTACGGTTCTAACAGAACTCCTCATACACATTTCTGAGACCTCAAAACATGGTATCGTCCTTGAGATTGAACAGACCGACCTATAACAAGATCACCATAATCAGAGCAAGCAACAGACATATTGACATCATATTTAAGTTGTTTAGAAGCTATGCTTACACTCTAGGTGACATTCTAGAACATCCATAGACTTTAGGTGACAGTCTAGCATATCCAGAAAGCACAACCATCAAGAGTAGCAGAAGGTAAGCGGTAGAGGAGATGATCCTTCTTTCACAAACACAAAACCAGTAATAGAGAAAACCCACTCCAAGAAAGCATAAGAATGATCTCCTCTCATCTCTCCACAATAAAATATCTGCAACTGCATCCACAAGATAACAAGACAAAGGAAATTATTGGTTTGATTAAAAGGAAAAACTTATAATTAAATAGCATGAGAAAAAGGTGATAGCCTATTTTAAGTGGCAACTCCTTTTGCTGATGATAAATACATGTATAAACAATCCAAAGGTTGCAATAAAAGAGATACAAGTTTGACTGCCGTGCTTCTTTTGGGTTGTTTCCCATTTTCAAGTATTAACTATTGAAATTCCACAGAGAACCAACTATGAATACTACAAGTAGACACGTGGTACATTGATTTCGAGTTTATGCACTTTTTTGACTGGAATGCACAAGCACACTGACACAAACATCTTTGTGCATATACATAAATACATAAATATATATGTAGACAGATAGATAGATAAATAGACAGAGGGAGAGAGGGAGAGGCTAAAAGGTATTCAGAGTGACTATACACAATCAACAGTGTTTGTGGAATCATGGCAAGCCACATGCACTTGGTATATACATAGAAGCACTGTAGTGAAACATTCTACATCCATGAGTATTCATATTAAAGAATAAATGAGATCATATTAATAATTGCTCGTCTCCCCCCCCAATAAGTGCCTTTCTTTGATCCTAATTATCTGGTCCTGATTCTTTTACACTTCAAAAGGAACTTCGTAAGCACTCACACTACTCGTCCAATATTTAACATGGTTGACAGTTTTTCAAAAGTATATACTTATTCATCAATTTGGATTTGGAAGTCGTCCCTTGAACTTACGAAGTTTGCAGACACTTGTTTTGGGATAGAGGCAGTGCCAGTAATAAACTAATAATGTATTAAAAACAATCCTGTTGGCAAACATTACAATATGGCCATCTGTGTTTGATAAAGATGAGAAAGCAAAGTCATAATCTATCTGTAGTTATCTCATCCCAATTCGTATGAAACTATTATATGCAAAAATATATTTTCTTCGAAGGTTTAGATCTCATTGACCTGGGTCTACCAATGGCCACAACCAATCAATGATCATACACCTCACTATCACAACATATATTTAGATAGCACGACTGTTCACCACCAACTTGAGAACATAGCGGTAAATGGTAATACCAACAACGCATGGAGCAGGAGGGAATGGGTTTTAGTTACCAAGAGGGATGAGGACAGGACAAAGTTGTCTCCACAGACATCTCAGTAGAATGGGGAAAACCATCTTCATTTTGTCACATAAGCAAGAGGAAGGGCCATGAAGCTATGCACACTGGTATTAGACAGATTTTCTAATTTCTTGGCTTGGAGGAACTACTCTGCTTCATAGATGAAGCAAAGGTTCGAATATTTATTATGAAAAGCATAGTTACCACATAACTGATCGATACACGTATCTGTAGATTATTTTATGTTTTTATATTTTATGTAGCATTAAGGGTTGTTGGGAAAGGCCTGCCTGGGCCCAAGGCCCATTGAGGTGCAATTTTGGATCTTCACCTTCGTTAAGGGCCATCAACTTCAATAAAGCGCATGTCTCAACTTCCGAGGCACAAAAGCCAAGCACATGAGGCGCAAGATTAATTAAAGGGAGGTACAAGTTGATTTTCGAGCCATTTTTATTGAATAAGACTATTGTCTTGTACACTTTTAGTCTAAATGAAAACTGAGCTCATTAAGCACCTTCTGAACTAATATATTATACAAAAAGCCTTTCATACATATATATACATACATATATATATATATGGATATAGGGAAAGGTTAATTTGAGAAGTGGTAAATATTTGAGAAGTAAAGAAGTGATCCTCATCTGATCAACATTTGTGGGTTTGACCATGAAGCATTGGATAATCCTTGCATGGGTATGAGGAAGATAGAGGGATATTGTCATAACTTTCACAAACAAGCGGCAAACAGGTTTATATGTGAACCCATGTGATAGACATGTGATATATATGTTCATATGTGAACACGTTAATTAGTTCACATGTGAACTAATTAACTGATTCATTATGAACTGAACCAATTCGTTCATATACGAATCAGTTAATTAGTTCATATGTGAATCACACAGGTTCATGTTAATTAGTTCATATGTGAATCACAAGGGTTCATATAGGAATCGGTTAATTAGTTCATACGTGAATCACATGGGTTCATATGTGAATCACACGGGTTCATATGTGAATCGGTTAAAAGAGTTCATATGTGAATTACACGAGTTCACATATAAACATATGGTTCATATGTGAATCACATAGGTTCGTATATGAACCCGTTTGCCGCCTATTTATAAAAGTTACGAAACTACTCTCTCTATATTTTGCATAGCCGCAATTTTTGACTAGTCAAAGCCATAATTATTGACCAGTCAAAGACGTAATTGTTGACCAGTCAAAGCCGCAATTATTGACCAGTCAAAGCCGCAATTATTGACCAGTCAAAGCCGCAATTATTGACCAGTCAAATCCGATCTTGACCATATGAAGGGCTAGGTTCACTTCTTTAATTTCTCAAATATTTACCACTTCTCAAAATAACCTTTGGATATATATATATATATATATATATTATATAGGTGAAGAATCGTCTAAGAAGGGAAGTTATGGTGAGAAGTGTAAGAAGATATGAACCCTTGATCACTTTTAATCTCATGCCCACCCATGAATTGCGCTTTGGAAGGGAATTGATCCGGTGCATATCGGTGTAACTCATTAGTGTTGACATTCAATTAGGATTAATCCAAGAGTGGAGATCTCTTATTACGCTTATCACCATAACTTCCCTTCTCACCGGAACCCAACCCTATATATACTATACAAAAGGCAAAGTTAACAGACAATCACACTTGGGCCTTCTCTCTATCTCATCTTCTACTACTTCCCTGCATATCTTGTCTCTTCTCTCCAGTAATCTTCTACTACTTCCCTGCATATGAAACCATAGACTGTGGCTCCCATCATTCGCCACATAACTTCTTCTCTTTGCATCAATAATTTAGCAATAGTTATCAGTGGTTTGCTGCTAGAAACTTTTAGGGGCCGTTTGGTTTGCGGAATTTGAAGGAATTGGAATGACAAATTCCTTTGACCAAATTCCAATTCCTTTGTTTGGTTCACTTCTAGAAATGAATGGAATCCTTTAAATTCCATTGAATTCCACAAATCAATGAATTCATTCGGTGCCGGACCCAAAAACATTTATTATTAGGGATATGCTTAGGGGTGTCAAAAAAAATCTGAAAGCGAATAACCTGTTCTAACCAAGCCGATTTCGGGTTATTCGGTTTTCGGCTTTAACAGTTCAGTTTAATCAAATAAATATAACTTTTTCTGTTTTTCGATTAATTTTTTACAATTTCGTATAAACCGAGACATTAATACAGGTACCTACATAATTTACTATTTCGATTTAACTAAAAGCAAATGAACACATTACACATTGATAGTCGGAAGCGAAATCAGAGAGCAAGAGGTCAAGAAATTAGAGCTACTTAGAAGTAAATCAGATAGTAAAAGACCAAGATATCATAAATAAAAGACAGACTAGTAACAAACTCCATATCAAAGTGACAAACTCAAGAACCTAAATTAAATAACAATTAAGATATAGATAATTAATAACTAGCAAATTACAATAACTATAAATCTATAAAACAATAAAATGCAAAAAGAAAGTTGGAAAAGAACAAAAAATAGTGATTGATCAAATTATGAGCATTATAGTAACAAAACATAATAAGAAGACTTTCAATGAGTTGAGACTTAGAAATTAAGGGTATTAGAGTTTAATTGATGCTTAAATTGGTAACTCCTTGATATGTAAATGAGATGGTAGAAATTAGATTTGGGGCCTTACCTTTTAATTGTTGGGGGCCTATTAGTAATTTTAGGTTAAAAAATGTTTTTGAAGTTACAAATAATGCTTTGTCGGGAGGTTTCTTGGTGGTTAGTTGGGGGCCTTTGACCCCTACAACTAATACATGTATCCGCTCTGAATTCATCATTCCTTGGCATAATGGAAGGAATTGAATTCCATCCTTCTGCATCCATTTTAACCAATATGAACCACACCCTGCCCCCACCACGACCATGCTACTATACCCCCACCACCACACCACTATTTTCACCATCACAACCGCCACCCACCCATCAGAACCCCCAACCCACCACTAACCACCACGACACTATTGTCTTCGTCACATCTATCACACCCACCCCATCACTTACCCACACCAACCCCACCCTTGCCACAAACCACCATGCCATTATTGTTGTCATCACAACTGCCACCCCCAACCCCAACCCGTCACCCACCCACACCACCCTGCCATCCAACCATTATACCACATCCCCCTTACAACTAATCCACCCCCACCGACCACCATGCCACTATTGTCGTCATAGTCATAGCTACCACCCCACTCCCACCTCATCGACCACCATGCCACTATTGTCGTCGTTATTCCTACAACCCCATGCCGACCACCATGCCACTATTGTCAACGTCACAACTACCCTCGACTACGTGGGTGGGGTAGGGTATGCATAGGGGTGACCAAGGGATAGGTGGCGTATTATAGAACCGTGGGAAATGGTAATTACGAGGGTTGGGTGCGGACCGGGGGCATTTGGGGTAGAACCAGTGTTGGGGTGGGGTGCAGGGCGGATGGGTGGGTACGGGGGGTTAGAGAACCAGAGGTGATGGTGGGGGCGATGATTGGTGTAGGTCGATGGATGGGGTGGTGCTGGAAACTTGGCGTAGGCTTAATTGATTCAAACTTAATCGATTGAAACTTGATTCAAGAATTTTCCTTTTCCAGAATTTAATCGATTGAAACTTGAAAGTTTGAAACTTGGGAGTGGTAGGTCGATAGCAGACGCAAAGATGCTTGTGGGCGATGGCCGATGACCGACAGAATGTTGTTGTGTTGTGGGTTGAGTGTCGACGCCTTGACGATAGACATAGTCGTGTGAGTCGCCGACCATATTTTTGAGAGATAGAGATATTAGGTTTAGATTTTAGAAATTAGAAATAGAATTTATAGTTTAGAATTTAGATAATACTATAAGTAAAAAAAATATATATATATATAATATAATAATAGTTCGGGTATTCAGACGGATCGGGGGTTTGATTTGGATACCTATCCGATCCTACATATATGATTATACTATCGGGGTTTGGGTTTCGGGGTCGAATGGTTCAGCGATTTTTGGGTCGGGTTTTTCGAGTTTTGCTCACCCCTAGCTGGCGTGGGCTTGCAAACGGGGATTGGGCGGGGGGACGGGGGCAGGAGGGGTAGGATCGGGGGCATAGGATTAGGTTAGGATGGGGGCGATGGTCGAGGTGGTGGTGGGGGCTTAGGGGACCAAGGGTTAGGGTGTCGAGGGCAGGTGGACAATGCCATCACCAATACCACTAGTGTCATCATCACAACTCTCACCCCCTCTGCCCACACCCCCCCACCTACAACTACCAATATCACCATGCCACTAATTGATATTCCAATTCTTTCGAGAGTTTCCATTTTAATTCCTACCAACCAAACGCGTGGTCAAATTCCATCAAACTCCATTCAAATTCCTTCAAAGTCAAATTCCTTTGACGGATTCCAATTCCACCAAATTCCATTCTGCGAACAGAACACCCCGTTAGCTTTTCTATTATTGGAAACTCAGCTTGCTCCCTGCCTTTTCTTTGTGGTATCTGTTAATCAAGATATTTTTTGAATACTCGTTTCTATTGAGGAAACCAAATGACACGTAGGCTTGAAGGATGGTTTTCACCAAGCAGAAAAATAAAGATACTCAACCATATTAAACCCATAAAGATGCATAATAAATAATGTTCACTCTAAAAAGTTACCTAAATAGAGATGTACAATAACAATTTTTCAGAAGTAACCTTGCTTTGATTTCAACTTAAACTTGCCAATTTTGATATCTTGCTCCTACCTCTCCCACTTATCACAAACCAGCCAGTCAATCATTGGCACAAAGCCAAACTTATATTTCATCCACTAAAACATCAATGACGTGGTTTTGGAAAAAAGAAGATCACAAAACATGTGACAAAATGCAAGTTTGATTAGAAAAACAAGTGATGGAACCTCATCTACATGAGAGACACTCATGCCCCCTTCATAGAGATTAATATATAGAAGCATGTAGACATGATACTTACCTTCCCCACTCCCTAGCAGCTCCTCCATTTTTGATTGTTCAATTAAGTCACCAAGTCTTGTAGAAGGCAAATCCTTAGCTAAATGAGTGAATGATTTGACAGTCAATGTGATACCATCCTGTCAGCCATCAACGAGAACAATACAAATAAACACAAAAAGCTAAATAAAAATCATAAATTAGCTAACATCATGATTCAATTCCATTGCCATATTGAAGAACAACTTACTATCAATGTAAAGCCAAACCCACAACCCCACCCCCTCAGTGGGAAACAAGTAAGAATTCAAAAGAAACACACCAGGACACGGTCAATTATTAAAAGTAACAAGCCTTGGAAATAGTGAAGTAAAGGCTTCGGAAACATTCTCAATGCTCTCCTATGTAAGGTCAACTCCTTGTTCGGATTCCAACCATTGGTAGTCTGTTACATCCATGTTAACTTGAGCCTATTGTATCTCTCCTGTAGCCATCCTGTTAGTGCAAGGTCTCCTTATCATTAGAAAGGAACAATGTTCTCATTTGCTCCACCAATGCCAACCACATATTTTTGTTTCTGATCGTATCAGTTCGTATAAAGCTGAACAGATTTTACACGCATGATGTTTTTATGGCCCTACAGTCTGCCTCAAGGATGGCTAGGTGTAACATGCCTCACAATGGTCGTATGAAACTACCTATCAACTTCAGCAGGATAATTTGTACGGTGCCACTCCACCTTCCCTTGTTCCCTTCTTTTGTCCTACTGAATTGCTGCTTTAAGCAGTTTAAGGGAGAAGTCTGTATGTGCGTATGTTACGTAAATGCTACATAACTAATATAATATTTTAGAATACAAAAATGTATGAAAAACACAGCATGAATTTCAAGAAATATAGCATATACCTACACACGTTTAACCTATAAAACTTACATCCAGTGAAACGATTGGCGAGTATTCAATATGCCGCTCAGCTGCAGAGCAGTTATAAGTTCTAGTGTGTGACATTAATTGGATTACATTGTGAACTGAAACATGCTTAAGGTCTCTGAAGTTCATATTTGAATGCATCCATTTTATGAGAAAAACAATCAACCGTACAACGACAGCCGGAAGCTTGATGATCGGCCTGCGGTTATATACAAGGATCAAAATTCAAAAACCATGACAAGCAAATAGCAACAAGATTCTTATGTTTCTGATTATCATTCGACATTTCACCAAATCAGTAACGAAGGATAAAATGCAGAGAATAACAAATAAAAATGGCCATTAAGAGTTCACGAAACTAAAACAAAATGTGAAGTGAATGATGAAAAATAACCCTCAATACCAACAGTAGAACTCCAGGATGTAGTAGAAACTTGGAAAAACTATGACCTAATATAAACTAGGCCCAGGCCTTCGAAGCCCATTTTCAGTAAACAAAAAATAAACAGGGGATTTTTGTGTGAAAATGGGCCCAATCGGAATTTTTCAGACCAGGATTTTTCGGGCTTCTGAAAAAATAGCTTGGCTGGCTTATAGACCTGACTTGGGCTTGATAGGCCCGAGCTTTTTTTGGATAGGCTTCAGGCTTGGGCTTTTTGTGCATCTGTAGATGCACCCGCCAAACCCCGCTGATGTGTGACTTAGCTAACTATTTTTTTAAGAATCTAATATTCATCTCAAACTGAAAATTCCAAATAGAAGGTCATGGTGACCTAAATAAAGAGAACAGTAAATCAGATAAATCAGCTCTTAAGAGACGATTTGTGCAATTCACACTAAAGAAAATAATTTTATGCTTGATAGCAATCATCAGAACCCGAACAATACCAATATTTTATTTTTAAGATATGATACAAATTTGTCAGCTGAAAATTCTAGAGCTATGGTTATCATGACATTACCAGCTATGAAGTCAACACAACAATTTAGTTATAAGATTACTACTCATTAAGATAAGTATGACAACTTCTAACAATAACAAGAAGCAAAGTCAACATGTAAAACACCAGCTATAATCCTCTACTCTACTACTCAACAAGTACGGAAGTTAAGAAAAATTAATGTACTGTCAAATGTGAACACATCCATCATAGTTAACAATATGCACTCGAACCTCATTCCATAGTCCAAAGTCCAAACCGATATCATCAGCAAGCAATCTAAACTAAGGGCAGAAATTATGTAATATAGTCCCCCCATCCCACAAGAATGGAAACATTTTCTCTTAGATGACTGGAAAGAGTTGCAACATTTCCTTTTCTGACATGTTAAAATTAAAATTAGGAATAAGAAGGGTAGATGCCACATTTTGGAGGGTCCCGATGGCCATCAGGGGGGGGGGATCATTGCGAGTCAGCAGTAGCAGTAAGTGATGGTTGAACCTGATATGCCACCATCCTACCCATGAGGCAACTTGGGGTATACAACTTGTGAGAAAAGGAATTTTGGAATTTTTTCTAATAACAACCACCTATTTGTTTATGGATCAAACATTGTGATTATTGTGGATGGGAGGAGTAATAAACTATAAGATTAAGATGGTTCTGAGCCCATGGAACTAATATTTAGTGACACTCTTACTGGTACATCATGAGAGCAACCCAAGAACTTTAAAGGGAATGAAGGAAATCAGTAGTGACTAGTGAGAATAACAAGGGGAAACACAATAAGGACACTACTCTTTCATACTGCATGCGGCATACAGGTTTCAGATATTTTATCAATAAAGAGAATGGGAAAAGAGGGAAACAGGTTCATGTCAGTTCAACAACAAACTAAGATGCATTGATTACCTGTAATAACCTAACCCCTCCAGCATACACAACGCAAATTGCCAAGATCTTGCTGGCTCAAAATTAGTGATGAAGAATACCTACAACATATCGAACCTTACCATTTAAACATTGGTCTCAACAAAGCAGAAAGAAAAAAGAATGCCAGAAATTTGTTGCTACCTTTCCAGACACAATGAACATGCGAGAAGCCAAAGCAACTTCGGCACAAACTAGGGCATGAGCAACATTTTCCACGTATGTAAAGTCAGAAATGGTCTGATCACTTCCTATAATGAACTGGAATGAGAGACTCTATTACTTATATAAAGAATAACCAAGAAAGGCACTTCCATTAGAACTGCATAACTGACAAAAGCATAGACAGTTGAGTGCCAATAAGAACATAGACTACATGATGCAATCAGCAATGGCAAACAAATACTTGGCCTTGAGCAATGCTATTAGCTCCTCTACCCCCCCCCTCCCCCCTCAAATAAAGAAAGGAATTAAGCTTAACTCAGAAACCAACAAAAACATTGAGAAAATGAAATTGTGAAAGTAAAGGCAGCAGTCAGAGGTGACACAGTGGAAGAGATGGCAATTTAGGTTTTCAAACTGCAGATTACGGAAGCTTAGGTGTTTGAAGAGGTGAGAACTGCAGTTGCTAGGATTGCAGTTGATTGCAAACAGTTGCCACTGCTTTTGGCAGCACAATCTAGGTCTAAGGGCTTGTAGCTGTAAGATTGAAAAAAATCACTCTAAGCTCTGCCATGATTCTAACTTCAAAGATATTAATTTAAGTTGGGATTTTTGTTGAATATAATGGGATGAAAACTAAAAGTATAATTTATTGGTGCTAAACTGGATGCTAGGAGTATCAGCGTCATTTTGTATATCACGAAAAAGGAACACTTCTTTATGGAAGTATCAGAAACAAAGGGATCACTCTTTTCTATCAACTGGAGCACATTTTGTTTATAAGCAATGGACCAAAATAATTTAGATGGTCTACCAGTCATATACAGCAAAACGTAATTGATGTACTCCAATCATTTGAACCAGCAACATACTCTATTGTTGTGTACCACCTAAAAATTGATATACCAACAATGATAAATCAATAAATAAATAAACTAACAGGAAAATCTATACCAAGGTTATAGTGTAATTCTGTGAGAAGCTGATTATTATTGTCTGTTTGACGTAGATTTAGAATAACTGTTAATCTCTTTCCATCAATGGTTACAGATGCAGCAAGTAAATAGGAAAGAAGAAAGAATACATTTAAATAAATAGCAATGTAGTTTCCAAACCTTGGCCCAACCAGATTTTGCAACTTCGATAAGAGATGGCAAGAGAAACTTGTCTCCAGGTCCAAAAACATTGCTAGGGCGAAGAGCACATGTAAGGAGCCCATCAATGTCGTTAGCAAGCAAAACATGTGCCTCTGCTTGAGACTTGAGTTCACAATACAAATTCTTAAACTGTGAAACAACAAAGAATTATATCACTGAGAGGCTTAGTAAGAGTAAATTAATCCCACCTTTCCTCATTGAGCATCGCCTTTAATTAGGTAAGCAAAAAGAAATTAATTGACCTTAATGCAGTTTAACTCTGACTTCTACTACTATAATGTTGATTGTTCTTTTACCAGTTCATCCACCCAAACATATCATTTGAAGATCTGAAATCCAAGAGTAAGACATACGAAACTAAATTCATTAAAGGTGTGAAGAGAAGTCTAGATTTTTTTTCTGAAAAAAACTTAAGTAGTTCACAAATGTCACATTGCATTGTACTTTGATATGAAGTAGATATACTATTAACAGAAGAACCAACTTAAGGCTTTTAGAGTTAGGAAGTAGCCACTTACTGTGGGATTATGCTCATTTTTTTATATACTCAGAGAAGTAAGCACAACGCTCAATGTGGATGGGAGAGTATTACTCGTTCATAAAAAACAATGGAAATATTGTAGATGATCACATACTTTTGAAGAGTATAATAGTGTCTCGTTTCCGCTGATTATATCATGTGAATTATCAAACACTACATCTGCAGTACTGTTGTATATTAGCCGCTTAACTTTGCATCGCCGACAAGCATTGACAACATTTTTCACACCTACATAACATGAAATATACAAGATAAAAATGATTAACAATAGAAATAGTTTCAAATCAGAACAAGGCCTAGTTAAAGGTGAAGAGATGATTAACCTCGAACAATTATTGAGTAACCAAAATAGAAATCATGATTGCAAGAATCAATATCATCCATGTAAAATACGACTTCTGAACCTTCAATAGCTGCAAAGAAAACGTTATTGATGAAATAGTTAAGCCCTTGTCCTGAAGCTTAGGTTATAAAGGCACATATAAACAGAAGTATGCAATCGAGAGACAGAAGAGCCATTGTGCTATTTTCCATATCCATAGCATATAACTACCTTGTTCTATTAATGATGGATAGTCTGATGGACAGTGGACGATGATAATGGGAGAGTAATGTCTATTCGAATATCACTTGGTTCCAGTGTGTGTATAAATTAATACAATGACACAGCAAGTAAGATAATTTCTTAGACTTTTGAGTCACACTTCAACAAAGGAAGTTCTAGGATGTGGAAGTAGTTTAAAGATGGAAATAATATTGAAGTTTAGAAGTCAAAAAGTTGCACAATCTCTTTTGCTACAATAATGTAAGATGGTGAATCAATCCCGGGCAGACAAGCAAAGTTTACACAAATCAGCACCTATTTCACGTCTTAAGGACAGAATCTAAAAGTGCAAGGAGGTGAAATTTCAAAAGAGGAGTGCATATTCTGTTAATGACAAGAAAGAATGAAAACCACTATGAGAAGATTGCTTCCACATCAAAAGAAGAACATTCTAGTTGCAATGTCCTTTATAGGTTTAAAAAACCAAGATTTTGCATAAGGAGAGAGCCAACTTTCATGTCATGATTAACAACAGCAAATTAAGTCATTGATACATATACACAATGTTACATATGAAATGAAAGTTGTTGACTATAGCAGTGAGGATCCAGGAAGGCAGTGATCGGGGGCACACTTAGGAGTATAAAAAATTTCAAAAGTCGAATAACCCATCCAAACCGAATGAGGTTTAGGTATACGGTTTTGGGTTACTCGATTTTCGAGTTATTCAGTAATCCTCAGTAAGAACAATTAACAGAAGCAAATAGCACATAATCTGACAAAATTAACAAGCATTCCAAAAGAAATGTCATTCTTAAATATCGAATCATCCAAAAACCACTAAAATTGCTGAGATTTACGATACCAAAAGCACTGAATGGGCCAGAGACTATAGGAGTAATTTTAATAAACCTAGGCCAAAACATGAATAAAAATATGGATTATATGTTAAAAAAATCTCGAGCTAAAAACAGTACGCTCATTAGTATATTAAAAAAAGGGAAAGGGTACAGAGAAAAAAAATACACCACAAAATCCCTTATGTAATTCTGTATTTCCTTTCATTTATTTCCTTATATGTTTTATATGCTTATTTATAATGAATAAATAATTTAATTCCTACACTGTAAATAATTAAGAGATTGACTGTAAATTGATTCAATTATTGGAATGCCTTCTTGAAACAAACATTTAGACTTGAACAAATGTTACATTGACTCCTCAAACCATCCGATTACACCTATGTAAGCATTAAACGGAAGTTTTTGATCAAATAGCACCAAACATACAGTATTCACTAGGTAATCCTCTTTGAAAGCTATTTACTTGATTGCATATTTGCATTCATCTCCTAGTGCAAAATTACCAAAATACCAATGGGTTTGTTTAACTCTATGAAAGAATTATTCAAGTCCCAAAAGAGGTCGACTTCTGGTTTTAAAACTTCAACCCCAGTACTTCCAAACCTCAAATCTGGCATGGATTTTTTTTACCTTTTTACCTCCAAATATCTCAATCCTAGTACCTTCATAAAATCAATGCAGTGATCAGTTTTTTCTGTGCAATTATTAACAAGTTAAAAGGTTAGAGAACTAATTCATGATAAATGTGGACTTGTTTAGGGAAACAGGAACTAGACTCTTTTACTGAATTTCATGGAAGCTTGTTTAGGATAAAAATGCGAATACCCCATTCATTCTGAGGCTTCCCCACACAACCAATCACAACCAACCACCATTCAGGCTTGCCTTAATTTGATAAATTACAAGTAGCAAAAAGTTCAAAAACAAAGAATACAATTACATGAAGTAGCAAAAAGTTCAAGAACTCAAAAAGTACCGTTAATGATTGTACTTTTGTGGCGCAGATCAACGTGGGCATAGGAAGCACGACCAGTAGAGAAAGCACGGTTGAGAGGCGAGTCGTACTTGGACTCAGAAGGATCGAGTTGGAGGGACTGAGCAGAATCGGCAACTCGAACGATCCAATTACCTAGTTTCAATAACCTCACAACAAGACATCTTCCAATGAAGCTTCTGCCTCCGAGGACGACGCAAGTTTTAGACTGGTCGTCGTCGATCGCCATTCCTCCTCTCTATCTCTCTCTCTCTCTCTCCACCAAGATCAAAAGAGAAGAAGATTGACTGATGATTCCTCTTAGGTTTTGGAGATGGAGGATGCAATACAACGACGGTCGAACGGAAATTGGCGCCGGTTCACCGAAATGCAACCAGAAAGATGCTTGGTGGGCCCAAGTTGTTGCATGCGTTTTCCCAAAACAGATTAAAAATATAAGGGAAAATATGAAAATAACCATTTTTACAAAATAACCAGGTTTTAAAGGTTTTACAAAAGTAACCACATGGATCGCTCCCGGAGATGATCCATACTTGTGTCTAAGAAAAAAAATTATAAATTTTTACCTAGGGGCGAGCCACGTCATCAAATTGCCCCTGGGTGATCCAGCCTTTAAGTAATTTTTTTTTCTTTTTTTTTTTGTAATACTAATTTCACTATAAATATCAACCTCCTATTTCATAATTTTTTACACATTCCCTTTCATTTCTCTTCTCATGTATTCTACTCTCACAACCCTTAACTCATTAAACACAATAAACCATCACAACCTTTAATCCATTAAACACAATCAACCATCACAAAACATGAAATCACGTCAAAGTGATGATGTTTGTGTGTATCTTCGAAGTGGTGGTTTATTCCAATATATAAATGGTGTTGTAGAATACCTTTCGATAACCTCCCCCATATGTGCAATACGTTTGTCTTCGCCAATAATGTATTCTAGGGTCGTCAAACGTGTGACGAAAAAGTTAAGTTTACGTGGTTCTTTCAATTTATTTTTTAAAAAGAATACTTCATATCAGTTTATGGACGACGATGATGTGGTAATCCTCTACAACGCCATTTGTCAAACTTTACCAGAAATGTTGGCACTATATGTGGTCGACAATGGAGGTTATGGAGGAAATCCATCAAGTGCAAACCCGGGCGGTCCAAACACTTTTTACCCCGGTGCTGTGTGCACACTCTTCCCCGACGTTAGCGGTGCAAACTCATATGGTCCAAGCACACTATTCCCTACCGGTTGTGCTCCTGGTGTAAATCAGAGCATTTTCTTCCCTAGTAGTGGCAGTGGTGAAAATCCAAGCACCTTCTTCCCTTATGATCCTGGAAATTCATATTTTGAACAAAAAGTTATTGTTGAACCTGACAGTTATTTTGTTCAAGACTTGAACATGCCTCCGATGCAGTCTCCCAACCTGTACCCGATCCGGTCTCCCGAACGGTCAAAACCGTTGTGGAATGTAGATATGGTCGAAGATGTTTCTGTTGCTGCCGAAATTTTGAACATACTCGAAGACGACGATAACTCTGATTCTGAAGATATCAAGCTGGTAAGGAATAGTTTTGGGGGTATGCCCGACCTAACACCTTGTCCGGACCCAGTTATCAAAAGTAGACAGGGAAACATTTTCTACCAGCCTACATCCCATGTCAAAGTTCTCTAAACTTTTGACTCGAAGGAAGCACTTAAGCTCACAGTGGGATAAAGTGCGTTCATGAAAACTTTCAAATGAAAGTAAAGAAATCTTCCAAACACCGGTACGAGGTGGTGTGTCACTCAGAATCGGACTGTGATTGGCGTTTATGGCTGTCTCCATCGATGGTACCAGTATGTTTCAGGTACGGAAGCTCCACGATGAACACACATGTTCAAGGTCCCAAGTGCACCCAAACCACCGTAATGCGAATAAAAAGGTTTTGGGTCATATACTGGCATGGAGTTTAAAGGATTGTAGGAGAGTGTACCGTGGTAAGGTAATCATGGAAGATGTGAACCAACGGTTCAATATTAGCATCTCCTACCACCAAGCATGGCAAGCAAAGATGTATGTCTTGGAACTGTTGAGGGGGACCCCTGAATTGTTGTTTAACCTACTCCAAGTTTATTGTCACAATCTGAAGCTAGCAAATCCGGGGACTGTGACAGAGATCGCTCTTGATGGACTTGGACGATTCGACATGTTGTTTGTCGCACTCGGTTGTTCAGTAATAACTTTTGTCATATTTTTTAATTATTGTCATAATTTTATGTTCTGAAATTAGATTTTTAATCTCGTTCATCTGCAGATTCGATCGTTTCTAGGACACATGAGACCGCTTCTTATAATGGATGGTGCCCATCTGAAGGGGCCATATGTTGGCACCATGTTCTTAGTGGTCAGCATGGATGGAAACAATGGGATCGTACCCATTGCAATGGGAGTGGGGAAGACAGAAAGTGGCCATCATGGACATGGTTTTTACGTAATCTTAGGCAGTGTATCGGTGATGTGCCCAATTTAACCTTCGTAACCGATAGGGCTGCCTCTATCGACCTGGCCATACGAACCATATTTCCTTCTACGCACCACGGACTTTGTTGTCGGCATCTGAGCCAGAACCTCCGCCTAAACTCCACTAAAGAGAAAAGGAAACGGTGGATGTTCTGGGAGGCATGCAAAGCTTACCGGTTGTCGGACTATGAAGCTACTATGGATTTGATGCGGCACAGTCTACCTAGAGCCGCTCAATATCTTGAGAAAGTTGGCTACGCTAGATGGGCACGATCGCACTACCTTGGATTGCGTTACAGTGCAATGACGTCCAATAGTGCTGAGTCCGTCAACTCAGTAACGTGGTTTGCACGCTATCTTCCGATAACAATGTTAGTTGAATTTTATCGGGTGACATTACAACAATGGTATTTCATACGTCGGCATAACGGAGGTAAATTCAACCATCCTTTCACTATATGTTTGATTATGTAACATATGCTAATGATATCAAATATTTGTAGCGTAAATAATGAATATATTACGTATATTCACGTACGTTTTACGTACGTATTTATACGTACATATGTGTACGGGTTAAAACCCGTACGCATATTTACGTATCTCCACGTATGTATGCACGTATATATGTGTACGCATGTATATACGTATATATATACCTACTTACATTTACGTAAAAAACGAGAATAAATTGTGGTAACATTTATATATATAGAGATGCATTATGTAAAAAAAACGATATAAATTGCGGTTAACATTTATATATATAGAGATGCATTACGTAAAAAAACGATATAAATGGTACAAAAATTAAAACTTCGTATTTTATACGTATATATGCGTACGGGTTTAAACCCATACGCATATTTACGTATATTTACGTACATTTTACGTACGTATATATGTGTACGGGTTTTACATATCTTCACGTATGTTGTATGCATATATGTGTACGTATGTATATACGTATATATATATATACCTACTAACATTTACGTAAAAAAATGAGAATAAATTGCGGTAACATTTATATATATATAGAGATGCATTACGTAAAAAAAACGATATAAATAGGTACAAAAATTGAAACTTAACACGTATACGTATATAATGAGATAGATACATACATATAAATATAGATAGATACATATATATATAGATAGATACATATATATAGAGAGATAGATAGATACATATATAGATAGATAGACACATATATATAGAGATAGATAGATACATATACATATATAGATAGATAGAGTATTTACCGGTGTTTCCGTAGTGGCGGCAGAGGGTGGTGGATGGCGGCAATTGACGGTGGTTGGTGGCGGCGGCGGAGGGTGGTGGATGGCGGCGGTCGGTGGTTGGTGGTGCCGAAAGGTGGTAGCTGGCGGCGGATGACGGTGGTCGGTGGCGGCGGATGGTGGCCGACGGCAGCGGTTCAGGATGGTAGGTGGCGGCGGATGGTGGCCAACGGCGACGGTTCACGCTGGTCGGTGGCAGCGGAAGGTGGTTGATATCGTTATATGGTGGTGTATGACGGTATATTGAAGAATGGTGGTCGTTTTTGGTCGGGATGGTCGGTGGGGATGGTCCAAGCTCGGTTTTTCGCTCGGTTTTTCTAAAGAAAACGAGCGGTGGTGGGGATGAATGGTGACTTATGGTCCCCCACCACCTATTTATATAAAACGTTAAGTAATAAAACAAAATCCATCGTCAAATCGATGTCATAGAGTGTCATAACATGCAAAACCGCGAAATCAGATATAATGTCTGATTTTTTTCTCCAAAAATCAGCTAATTTTTTTTCGTAACCACAATTATCATTGTCTTATTTTATAACAAAAAACCATGAAATTTTAAATTAAATATGTAAAAAAATACAGTTTATGTATTGTTTCATTTTTATTAAAAACACCCCTTAATTGTCAAATCAAAAACACAAAATGACGAAATAGAGGTCAAATTTCATAAATCAGATATAATATCTGATTTACGAAACCCAAATCAGATAAAAATAATTTTTGCGTCTCCATAATTATCATGGTTTATTTTTAAACATTTACACATGAAGTTTGGTTCTAAAAAAAATTAAAAATTACAATTTAAATGACGTATCACTTTTATTAAAAATACCGCAAAAAAAAAAACAAAAAAAACAAATAAAGGCTGGATCCCCCCTCGGGGGCAATCTGAGTGGCTGGCTCACCCTAGGGGGCGATTCGTTGCCCGGTCTACGAGGGTGCATAATAATATATTCTTTTTAGGATGAAAGTGGGTCCCACATAAAAAAATTTCCCTTAGAATTATGGGCTGGATCGCGCCGAACAGTACGGATCGACCCCCGGGGGCGATCCGTGTGGGTATTTACGTAAACCCTCTAAAAACTGGTTATTTTGTGGAAGATAGTTGTATAAAATGGTTAGTTTTTGACATTATTCCTTTTCACTCGGTTTTTCTAGAGAAAAGGAGCGGTGGTGGTGATGGATGGTGACTTATGGTCCCCCACCGCCTAGGGATGGTAATGGGGCGGGGATGGGGCGGGGACCCCAATACCCGTCCCCGTCCCTGATCCCCCAAAGTTGAGGAGAGAAAGTCGGAAAGAGCAGTCACCATGGAGAGGGAGAGTCGAAGAGGGAGAGCCGGAGAGGGAGTAGGGCTGTCATCGTCGGCCTGTCGCCGTCGCCGATTAAGGTAACCTGGTCGGGAGAGGAGCAAGGCAGCAAGCGCCGTGGAGCCGTGGAGACTGGAGGAAGCGTTTGCGTCGTACTCGTACAGA